AGAGAGAGAGAGAGAGGGAGAGGGAGAGAGAGAGGGAGAGAGAGAGGGAGAGAGAGAGGGAGAGAGAGGGAGAGAGAGGGAGAGAAATGGGTGAAGGTACAGACCTCCGGTTATAAAACAAGTCAGTCCTGGGGATGTCATGTACAACATGGTGACTATAGTTAATAATACTGTGTTGCTTATTTGAAACTTGGTAAGAGAATAAATCTTAAAAGTCCTCATCACAAGAAAAAAAAATGGTTTTTGTAACTATGTATAGTGACTTGATAACTAGACTTGATCTAGTGGTCATTTCTCAATGTATACAAATGTTGAAACATTACTTTGTACACCTGAAACTAATAATGTTATGTGTCCATTTTACTTCAACTTGAACAATAAAGGTGCCTTTTCAGATGTTTGATTTTGGCCTATGAAAACAGCTATAATCCTTAAATCCTAAAAAGTTCTGTCTTCAAGAATTGTAAGAAAATTGTATTTAAAAAAAATTATTTTTATAAGAAAATTCTTTTAAGAAAATTAAATTGTACTAAATTGAATAATTGGATAACAATCATGAAGTTAAGAAGAACTACAGGTTTTTAAATGCATAACAGAATGAAAAACATGAATAAAAACAAATGGAAAAGAGGAAATAAGTCTACAATTTAATCTTGGTCCTACATGGGAAAACATTCCATTGCCCTTAAAGAAATTTTGTATAAAAAATATAAAGTAGTATTTGTACGTGTGGATATTTTCATAGGATTTTATATTATTCTTTTTCAGTGTATTTAACAGGGTCCACTTTTGGGTTTAAAATACTTGTTTTCACATTTTCAAGCCCGGATTAAAAACACAGTGAAGGGCTGATTAAGTTTTAATAAAAGGGATCCTTTAATAAAAGAGACCCTTTCACAATGTATATGTCTATCAAGTCATCACATTGTATACTTTAAATATCTTACAATTTTATCAATTTTACCTCAATAAAGCTGGGGGAAAGAGATACTGAAAAGGAAGCCAAGAGGGCAGGTTTGATAAAAATCTGTGGCATGGAACCTGCTAGGCCCGGCAGGAAGAACACAAGGTCCACAGCAGACCTGCGCAGGAAGCACCCAGGAGCCAAATGTAAAGAAAGGACAAACAGACGTTTCTTCACTGCCCTGTGTGCGTCTTCTTGGATGCTGAGTTGCTTTCAGTACTTACCCCTGGCTACAAACTCTAATGTGGTTAAATTATTCTGGATACTGTGGTTAAGTAATTGCTGTGGTCTTGGGAGTTAGTTACTTTTTTTTTTATTACTTCTGGTTTTTGGACATTTTTCTACCTCAGGTAATTGACATTACTTTGGAATGGACACCATGTGACTATTGCTTGGTGTGAGGAGGCCCTGGGTGACTTTCTGTCCCTAAAAGAAAGTTTCCTTTTTCCCTTCTAACTACTTATTTGATTATACTCTGGCGGGCTGGGCATTACTATAATACCCAGGAATTTCTCCTAACTGGAATTAGAGTGAATAGCAGGCTACAGCCCTCACTGCACCTAGTCAGCTACCCTGGCACTAGACAGCACTTGCAAACACAGACATCATCCTGTTTATGTCATTCTTACCCAATATTTGCGGAGAATGACTTACCCACTGTCCAAAGGGGGGGGCGGCATAAATTTGCTATGATCAGTCATTTAGGTCAATCAGACAGTTATGACGCATGGGAATTATCCTTACTCTTCAATTTTTATTACCTCTAACTTTCACATAGCTCTATGATTTTATCTGTTTTTCAAAGGAAGAAGTGAATTCAACTAACATTGGCTCTGAAAACACCAAAGTGATAAATAACTAAATTAAAATATCGAATGAATACTTAAGACAACAGTTTTCTAGCAGTGATCTTTTCAATCATTGCTTATTTGATTTTTCAACATCCATTTCCTCCGCCCCTTTACTATAGTATATATTCATATAAAATTTAAACAAACTTTGAGAGTCGTTTTAGAATTTTATAACACTCAATGAAGTAAGTATAAATATCAGAAAATATAAGAAAAGATTATAAAATTATCATTCGTGATATAGAAAAGCTACAATACCAATGTGGAAAAATGCAAATATGTATTTGTTTAAAGTAAAATACAAGTTAAGACAGGGTAAAACTTTGAAAAAAGTAAACACTTATATGAGTATGAGTATTAATTACTCAATCAACAATTGCTTAATGAGTACCTAGTATGTTTCAGGCACTGTTGTAGTTGCTTAGGATCATCAATGAACAAAACAGATTTTCTTAAAAATTGAGTGGAATTTGTAATCCAATGAGGAAAGGATACAAAAAACAATATACATAATAAATTACTAAATAAATTATTTGTATGTTGAAAATATATCAGATAAAAGAGAACAGAATCAGGAGATGCGAAATATGGGATAGGGAAGGGGAGGCAATGTGAAATATTAAAATAA